CCATTGCAGGGAGCCATTAGGGGGAGCTCATGACCCTTACTAAGGCCCTTTGGTTTGTTGCTTTCCCTCTTGACCAGACAGTATTTTTGTACCAACGCCATTCTGTCAGTGGAGGATTTTTCTATTCGTTCCGTACTGCATGCCTTCTGTTCACGTTTCTGTTATTATATTTTCTGCATTGTACTTCTGTAGTATAAATTTCATGACTTCCAGTTGATTTTTTAAAGAACTGTTTACTCTTTTACGGAATTTAAATTCAAATCGCACGAGGCTGCATAAATTGCTAATTGCGTCGGGAACTGACAGCACCGCTCTTCTCCCGCGTACGGAATTTGGGCTGGCTTTGGGAACGTAGAATTCTTTGCTAACCGACGCGAGTGATTTCCAGAAAGCCACATTCTACCGTAGCGTCGCATCGATGGGAGGTTTCGCGAGCGTTCATTAGTGGCAGTATATCAACCGCTGTACGCCACATTGCCAAGTTAGTTTACTGTAAGCGTAAGCAGTTAAATTAAATACACTCACGTTTGTGAAAATTGCAACACCAAGAAGGAATCGTCATAATTGAATGCAATTTAATACACAGTTGAGTGGTAGTGGTACAAATAAATGATTAAATGTTCAAAGCAAACAAACAAGAACAAGAGATCAGAATCAGTATTTTGTGTGGCCACCACGCGCCGCAATAAGTGCTGCTACACGAACGTGGCATGGAGTCAACAAAGTTTGAATGTTGACTGAGGAGGAGCATTCCATATCGTTGGTACGCGTACCCAAAGTTCGTCTGCAGACGCAACAGGACGAGGATCACGAGCAAGACGCCGACCAATGACATCCCACACTGTTCAATTGGCGACATATCCGGGAACACGCAGGCCAAGGAAGAAGCTGTACCTGCTGCGCTGCAAAGAAGGATTTAACAATCCGAGCAGTATGAGGGTGGGCATTGTCCTGTTGAAATACAGCGCCTGGCAAGCTTTGAAGGAAGGGAACAGCTTCGGGCTGTAGAACTTCACGGATATACCGGTTGCTGTTCAGATTGCCCACAATTCGTAGCAATTGAGATCGTCTATGATATGCTATGGCGCCCCAGACCATAACTCCGGGTGTTCGTCCACTGTGGCGTTCGATAATGCACTCCGGAAGGTGGCGTTCACCGGCATAGCGTCTGACACGAATGCAGCCATCATGGTACCACAAATTAAAGCGGGATTTGTCAGAAAACACGACATGCTGCCAATCAGCACGCCAGTCTCTATGCTGATTGGCCCATTGTAGCCGCAGGCGGTGATGGTCGTGCGTTAGGGGGATCCTGTATAAAGGAGTCCGTGCGCGCAGTCCACACTGCAGCAGACGTCTACGAATTGATGAAGCACACAATGAAACACCTGTAGCTATTGACCACAGTGCTGCCAATTGTCTAGAGAAAGCTGTACGATCCGTCCGCACCATGCGGACCAGGTGTCTATCATCGCGAGCTGACGTCACATTTCGGGGTCCACTCCCGGATTTCCGAGTTGTCCGACACTCGCCCGTCCACTGCCCTTCCAAACGCGCATCACTGTGTGCTGTTACGCTGCACACGAGAGGCTACTGCACGATACGACAATCCAGCTTCACGAAGGCCGATGATTCTCCCTTGTTCAAACTCTGTAAGTTGTTCAAATCTCGCTCTCTTTCGTCGACGAGGCATAAGTACAGATTGAGTTAACGTTTACCACTAGCAGATAACCACCGATAACCATACACGCCTTCGCTACAGCGGTCTATTTATTCGGATCCATCAGCCGTTCAGAGGGCGCTGCTCAGCATACGCATGCGCTACGGATTTGCAATTCTAATCATTTGCATATCATGCGCTACTTTGTATTTCCTGAAAATTTCACCTCACTCGCGTAAGTCCTTCATGGTGTTGCAATTTTCACAAACGTGAGTGTAGAAGTATTAATCAGGTATTCTTGGTAGTGATGCAGAGGGGTGTGATTTACGAACCCAGGAGAGATAAACCTTATAATAGCTATTTAAATATATGTTATGTGAGCAGTTCGGTTGCTTTGTTTTAAGTGTTCTGTTTTGTATTTTGGTAAAAGGTGAATCACAAAATGGAAGGTGTTTTTTTTATTACATAAGCAAGCCGATAGTTCAAGTCCGAGAGATCAAGCCTCTACGAGTGGCTGGGGAGCAAAAAGGCGAAAATATTGAAACTCCGATGATAGCTATTTGGACATTGGCTTTATTTCATAGGTGTAAATAATGTAGAAAGAATACAATGTGTGCTCTGCTTCGAAATTGTTCTATCGTCCGCCAGTATGCTCCGAAGTAAGCTAAAACCACATCTGCAGACCAATCACCTTACCACGCCAATGATTTAGTAGGAAGTTGCAAAATTTCCAAAAAACAAAGCAAAAGTATTCACTCAACAAGCTTCAGTACCTACCAACGTACTGCTAACATCTTTCAATGTAGCATACAGGGTAGCAAAGTGCAAGAAACCTCATACCACCGCAGAACAACTTATTTTACCGTGCGCTCTCGATATGGTTAATATTATGGTAGGAGAATCGGCGTTAAAACCAATTACAAAGGTACCTAATCTAACAACACTATTAGTCGAAGAATCCATCATATCTCAATGACCAATTAATAAAGAGAATGAAAGGCAAGTAATTTGGTCTAAAACTGGATGAGGCTACTGGCAGTAAGAAAGATGCATACTCTTATTTTGTACGTGCGTTTTCTAGATGATAGTATAACTGTTGAAGATCTTCTTTTCGAAGAATAAAAGATAGCAAAATTTGCTTACCTTTCATGCACCTAGCAGCGCAGTTAAGTCTCCGAAATTAGACTTGGTGTTATTAGGGATATATCCATTAATAATAAGATACATATTTAAACACTAATGGCATTTCTTCAACTGTAACTAAAATAATATAAAGAGGCAGATACATTAATGTTGCATACAAGCACATACGGAAGCTTAATAAGAATAAAAACAAATGGATTATGGGATATAATAATTGGGCGTGGATGGCGCAGACGCCCCTTGGAATTTCTAGGGTTACCAGAAGTGAGTTGGAAAAAAATGTCTTTTTCTCAACTGCCTGATTAATTTACAACCCTTTTCAGTTAAAGCATCAGTGAAGGGGCAAAGGCTCAAAACTTATTTGAAATTCTTGACAAGTTTATAACAGAGAATGATTTAAACTAGGAAAAGTGAATCGCTGTGTGTACTGAAGGCGCTTGATCAATGTAGGGCAGGTATGGAGAATTGCAAACCTAATATTCGAAGTAAACCACCCTATCCTATGTGGAACGATTGCATCATACACAGGGAAGCATTTGCACCGAAGCCGATGAGCTGTGAATTGAATTTGGTATTGGAACATAACATAGACTTAGTAAACTACATAAAAACTACGCTGCTGGAAGTCAAACTGTTCAAAAAACCTTTGTATGGACATGGAAGCTGCACGCAGCCTTGCTATATTACTGCAGTTCACGATGGCTTTCACATGGAAATGCTCGAGCACTCGAGCTACATCAAAAAATTTACACTTTTCTGCAAAAGGAAGGACATGCATACACCAGATAGTTTGCCAAACCACACTTTTTACTAAAACTGGCACTTTGTGCGATATAATTGATAAAATGAATACCTTGAATCCGTCTCTACGAGGCAATAATATGCACATCTTGAAACTATTTGAGAAGACTGCGGCATTTAGAAGAAAATTGCATAATAAAAATTGATGAGGATTGAGGTCATGATTTCTTCCTCTAAATGCATAAATAGGCGTCCTCTAACGAGCCCGTTGTCTTTAAAAAATTGCTGTTTCTTTTCACGGAACGCCTTTCGAAGCTGACTGAATTGTTTGCAAAATACTTTGTTTAAGGATATATTGAGAAATATTCCTGGATCCAAAATCCTTTCCGTGCTCAAGCTCCACCAGAGTTCACCTCACAAGAAGAAGAGAGTCTCTTAAAGCAGCCTTAAAACAAAATTCACTTGTTCGAATTTGTTTGAGTTTTAGAAAATCATCAAAAATGAATATCCAACTCTAAGTTCGAAAGCTTTAAGGATTCTCATTTCTTTCCCAACATCAAATTTATGAGAAACCGGATTTTTAGCTATAGCTGTAATGAAGAGAAAATATCGTTCAAAGATCAACGTGGAGCAAGAAATGAGATTGGCAGTCTTATCTGTCACTTTAAAAAACTTTGAGGAAATCAGCAAGCTCCCCCGTCCCACTGATTTTTTCCTACTTTTCTTTTAATTATAATATAATATTCTTGTGTATCGGTTCAATATATATCTATATGAGCCTCAGATTTTGGCTGTTTTCATTTCTGTGCCTGGTTACTTGTATCAATATACAGTGCATATATTTAATATACACTGCCCTCCAAAACCTAAGGAACTATAGACAGTCAGGCATCTTCTCTAAAAGAAGCAAGGTGCTTCACACTCTTTGCTCCATCTATTTCTGCCTCTCCTGGAGAAAACGTTGCTGATGTTTTTCACATCCGTCAGCCCGTTTGGGGCTCATTAAGGAAGTGGTAAGAGCAGAAAAGGAAATCTCCTGCTGTGGACCAGTATGTTACAAAAGTATCAAAGTATCAACTAAGGAACAACATGTTTTTTTTTTGTGTCTGATTTGAGAATGAAGAAACATAGAAACCAGAAATTTAGACGACATGCTCGCTAAACAGTTCTTTAATGAATGCGACATCCCCCAGAATACAAGTCGAGAAATTATTTTGGCGTCGACTTTTATAAATGGATGATTTTATAAATCGTGTCCTGGAAAATATCTGTTCAACTAGCTTCTTGCTCATTGGACGGGAGTGGAGAAAATAACAACATTCTTCAAATCAGAAGTATGGAATTATTGTTGGATATCTTAGTAGACATAGATCTAGAAGGGCTTTAATACATGAAAATGAGAAGTGAAACAGCAGTGTTTATATTATATCTTTAAAGAAGGCAATTAAGGCATAAGTTTTCTGCTTTCGACTATTTATTTATTTATTTGAGAAAGCATTACAAATAAGTTCTTGACAAGAAGATTTTGAATGAACGCAGTAGAACCTGAAAATTCCTGCTTATTCTTCATAATCATCCCGATGAGCGATGCACGCCCCAGCCTCGTTATAACGATCTACAGGATCCGTACCCTCTGGATGGGTGCATTGTGAGCCAATTGCACATGCATCACCTTTAAAAATATAACATTCTTCTCCAGGGCACTGTAAGCAAAGTAAAAGACAAATAATTCAATCTTGCATTGTATATATATTGCATATAAAATTAGAACCTTTCTATGATATTTAATAGGCACTATGCGCGAAAAAGCACCCGGCACCGTTTTAACATAAGTTTTAGTGTATGTTAATAATAAATAGTGTTAAGATAAATATGAGCATATAAGTTGGCCATGAAACAGTCCAATTTGTTTGATTAATTACGTAAAAGAACGTGAGGTCTATCTCCCATACGGAAGCTAACTAGTATTTACGTTATACGTAAGGACACTAAAACTAAATGTAACCGAACTCTTCATTTCAAAATTAACTTGGGAAAAACTGCGAATATTCAATCCTCTTATCTCATCCGGTAGGTTCAACGAGCATAAGAACAAGTAACAAATTTACAGAAATAGATATTCTTAATCCATTGACAATATTCTACCGAAATAAATGACGCACTATGAGGGTTTTGGACCCATCAAGCTGCCTTTTATTAAAAGAAATCAGGCTTACTATATTAACAAATTTCATGCGTCGGTTTCAGTACTGCATGATTTCTTTCCTTTCTAATATACTTTCAACAGTTTTCTGAACCATATGCTGCATCACTTTGAGTACTCTCATTCATATTCTAGTAAACATGCTTTAGGTAAAAGAGTGAGAAAATCAAGAAAAGAAGAAAGAAAAAAAAAATGATTTAGAATTTATATAACGCTATACCCTGCTAAAAATGCCCTGTAGAAACCCATAAAATTTTTTACGGGGAATTGGCCTACGGGTACCCGTACAGCTCTGCGGGTACCCGTAGGCCAAATCCCCGTAAAAACCCATAGACAAAACCCGTACAACTGTCGGGTACCGTAGGCCAAATCCCCGTAAAAACCATAGAAAGAAACCCGTACGGTTGTACGGGTACCCGTAGGCCAAATCCCGTAAAAACCCATAGAAAGAAACCCGTACACGGGTACCCGTAGGCCAAATACCCGTAAAAACCCATAAAAAGAAACCCGTACGTTTGTACGGGTACCCGTAGGCCAAATTCCGTAAAAAACCCATAGAAAGAAATCTGCACGGCTGTATAGGTACCTGTAGGCCAAATACCCGTAAAAAAACCTGTAAACAGAAACCCGTACGACTGTACGGATACGAGTAGGCCAAATTTCTGTAGAACTGTAGGCACTATAAACAAAATCCCAGTAAAAACCCATAGCCAAAAATCAAAACTTTATATGCATATCCATTGGCCAAATTTCCATTAAAAAAAATGGATATTCTGTAGGTCTATGCCTTGTAAAAACCAGTAAACAAAAGCATGTACACCTATACAGGAACCCATAGGCCAAATCCTGTAAAAACCACTACACAAAAATCCACAGACCAATAAAGGTACCTCTTGGAAAAAATCGCTGCACAAAACAGCACAAAAACCCATAAACAGAACCAATAGCATTATATCTATAGTGGGGTATCCATATACAGAATCCCTAAAAAAAACAATACACAAAAATAGAACTGTAAATCAAATTTCCATAAAAACATAAACCAGCAGAAGTACATAATTAGCACTGATGAAAACAGAACTAAATTGCGGAGAAAGCATGTAAAGTAATTTTAAATAAAAAAAACTCAATGCGAATAAATAAAAATTTTAAAATATCTAGAAGCCTACGAGCCTGTCCTTAATGCACGTCAATATCTATAAACATATTACAAAAATTTTAAACTACCTTTATATAATTCTGAAAATAAAATGAATAGAAAGATAATAACCAAAGTCATGATTCACAACCATCGAATGATATATGTACATGTATATATGTAAGAAAAATAAGGAATATGCAAAAGATTAAATTAGCAGCGTAAAATTAATTTTCCTTCTCTATTCTAAAAACAGTTTCTTTCTGCACTGCATCATTTCGAGATTAATTCATGTCATATGACTCTTACATAATTTGATGTTGTAAAAGAAACTAAAACTCAAACAGCCAATTGTAATTTTAGAGCAGTATTAACTATCAAATACGAGTAAAAATGCATCGAAAACCAAAATTAACTCGGTCTTAATTAAGATTTCACCCTTAACATGTAACGCATTTGCTTTTTACGCTTTGTATTTGCTGGATTGCAGTCATTGCTTTTTCTTACTACACATTTATCAAAAATGTTAATTTTTGGAATAGGCATAAATAATGTGCCAACTTGTTTGTGGCTGCAACATATTTGCTGAAAGAAAAGTTGAATTAAATCTACCTCAACTGCCAAATTTCTTATTCATTGTGGATTAGAGTTTCAACATCTCTAAGCCATCAAAATTCTTGCTGTTCATTACGGATTCAGCTGCTTGTATTCGACTACAGAATCCATTACATATATATATAATATCATTTCATTTGATGGTTGCGAATCATTACTTTGACTGTATATATATTATTCATTTCATTATAAATATATACATATAGTACTGTACCTCACTGCATATATTTGTATTTCAGTTCTTTAATTGGGAAATTAAACAATTGTATTTAATCACATCAGCTTGTTTAACAATTTGATACCTAATGAGAAATGTATTGCCAAAGGATGGTACTTTCTAGCATCTGCTTAAATTTTAAGTTACCTACAATGCACTAAACCAAATTAAAAAACAAAACTAGAAGAAACCCAAATTTTCAGGAAGAGAAACATTATTAACAAGCAAGCAAAAAAAAATACGGGACTTGCAAATTAGAAACTTAACATAGAGTTCAAATTTAGCATACTTGCTATCCCCTTAAAGCTCGCTTACCAATGATAGTAACACCCTGCAGCTTATTATGACATGCATACACATAGATGTTTTGCGTGGAAGAAAGGATGAATCCAAGAATATAATGTAGTGAAGAACTAATAATATACAAACACTGTGTCGACCCCTTATTACAATACTTTGAATGTTACCTGTATCTCTCAAAAGATAAATGAAACATGAAAGATAACATATAATAAACTTAATAAGTACCCAAAATACAATAAATTATATTGTAACAAAATGAATTTTAAAAAAATTTACAAGTTTCAAACAAATACCAATTCTTCAACGCACAGTTCGGGAATTAAGAAAATATCTCATAGCAGCGTATAATGTTTTATTCCGTATCTCACTTTTAGTGCTATATAATCTTCCACAAATTTATATAAATAAAATCTATAACATAATGGGTATTTATAGTATATATAGTTCTTGATGTAAAAAAGATTAACTTTCGTACTGTAAAAATTCCATCTATGCGAATAAGTGTGAATATACTCATATACACATAATTATACTAAATAACTAATTTAATGAAACTAAATTCCTATAGAAAAATGGGGAAAGTGTAGAATCGCCCACTGCTTGGAGTGTTTTTAAGAATTGCACATACTCGGTATCCATGTACACATCGACATATTTTCACTTAAAAAAACATCTCAGAATTGCACAAAAAAATGCCATTGTGCACTCCTTTTGACTTTATTCATGTACACATCGACCTATTTTCACTTTAAAAAGTCAAAAGAAAATTGACAAAAATCCAATTCCTTTTACTTTTGTACAAAGTGCCAAATAAATAAGTGGGCGATTCTGCACTTTACCCGAAAAAATATATAAAAATACCATTTACCTATATATATTAATAATTTATTATTACACAAGATTTTTCATATATCATCTCAAAGGAACATAAATTTACGAGTAATTAAAGCGATGCATTATTGGAATAAATTTGAGTCAGTGTTTTAGGTGCAAGTTATTTAGATTTCTATTGTAGAAAGAATACTTGAAATAATGTATAGAAATATTATTTTGAACCATAAAAATTCTCAATAGTAAAATTTAAAGTACTGAAAAGGTAGCTATTGTTTTTGACAGTAGATTATATAATATAAAAATACCTCATGCTGAGCATTTTCTGAAATTACAATGCCAAATGAAATTGATATAGTGCAGTATTTAGCAATAATAACTTTTTGTAAACAAATGTAGCTATATTCGCTTAATTGTAATGACAGTAATTTTAACTGCATTTGTATAAGGCTGTACAGAAGATTTATTTATATGGGTTTTCATCCGCAGAGAACAACCGGATTCTCCCTGTGGAAGTGCTTCCGAAAAATAATGTTTAAATATTACTCTAACTATATTTGAAAGCAATGCTATAACAGTGCCCTTATAAGACTCATGATCCGAAAGAGCTTTGGTTTTAAATGTCTCGTAAAAACTTTCAATTACTTCTGCAAAATTCATACCCACGTAAAAATTACTACACCGAAGTCAATTGATTATACAGCAAAACGTTCCTAAAACAATCAACTCCACAATTCGAGATAATGCCAGTTTCCTGTAGCCTGACAAAACTATGAATGATGATTTTTAAGTCCTGTTATTTAATTATTGTCCTGACAAATGTGCCATTATCAGAGGTGGTCATTTAAGAAAATAACCACTATATGAGGTTTCAACTTAATGTAATTTTTTTCAAATAAATAATTCACTTTTTATACTCCCAAGACTAGTACATTTAATATTACATAAATCTTATTCACAAATCTATTTCTATTTCAAAAGCAATTTATGAAAAAACACATTTGAAATTTTCTTCATCAAACTAATAATAATGAAAATTAAAGTATGCATAAAAATGATTATATGTGTTTTAACAAAATAGCACAAAATATTTAATGTAAAAATGTGGTTCTAGTCTCATACTTGTAAAGAAAAATAGACCAAAAAAGAAAAAAAACAATGTAAGCTACTATGATCATCTAAATTTTCACATAATTTTAGTAGTGGAAAAAAAGATTCCTTAAGCTTGTATGTCTTGTCTACCCCATTCATAAGTAATAAACACATTAAATACTTCAATGTTTATTTCATTAATAAAACTTACCTTTTTTGCTCGCGAAATATAATTAGTACATTTTTTAAAACATAAAAAAACATTCTTTTTGCTCGGCCACATCACATTAGTCGAAAAAAAAAT